GTCTCAGTCCAGGAGATCTACTAGAGAGCGTAAGCCATCTACCAGATATCCAAGTTTAGATTTTATTTTAGTTACCAGTGAAAGGGAGCTAAAAAGCTTCTAAGATGTACAGGCTACTCCGGATAGAGAGCACTGGTTAAAAGCAATGAAAGAAAAGATGGAGTCAATGCAAAAGAATGATACTTATGATCTTGTTAAACTTTCAACAGGAAAGAGGCCATTAAAGAATAAATGGGTGTTCAAGTTAAAAAATGATGGTGACAAACTAGTGAGGTACAAAGCTCGATTAATAGTAAAAGATTTTTCTTAGAAATCAAGCATCGATTTTGATGAGATGTTTGCTTCAGTTGTAAAGATGAGTTCTATTCGAGTGGTACTGGGATTAGCAGCTAGTTTGAATCTTGAGCTTGAGCAACTTGATGTTAAAACTGTATTTTTGCATGATGATTTGCAGGAGGACATTTATATGAATCAGCCTGAGGGTTTTAAAGTGAAAGGAAAATAGCACTTAGTTTATAAATTGAAAAAAAGTTTGTATGGCTTGAAACAAGTTTCGCGACAGTGGTACAAAAAGTTTGATTTTTTTATGGTGAGTTATAGCTATAAAAGAATAGTAACGGATTCTTGTGTGTATGTTAAATAATTCCCTAATGATAACTTCATTATCCTATTATTATATGTTAATGATATGTTGATTGTAGGACAAGATGCTAGTACGGTTTGTAAGTTGAAAGAACAATTATCTAAGTCTTTTGATATGAAAGATTTAGGTCCAGCAAAACAGATTCTTGGTATGGACATTATCCGGGATAGGAAAGCTGAAAAGCTGTGGTTGTCACAGGAAAAATATGTTGAACGAGTGCTTGGTAGATTCAACATGCAACATGTTAAATTAGTTTGCAGTCCACTTGCCAACCATTTTCATCTAAGTAAGAAATCTTGTCCAGTGTTTAAGGAAGAGCAACTAGCTATGTCTAGTATTCTTTATTCTTCTGCAGTCAGTTTTTTAATATATCTTATGGTTTGTACAAGGCCTGACATTGCTCATGCAGTTGGTGTAGTGAGCAGATTTCTTTCTAATCCGAGAAAGGTTCATTGGGAAGCAATGAAATAGATTTTTAGATATTTGAGGGGTACCTAAAAAATGTGCTTGACTTATAGAGTTTTACAACCAGTTCTAGAAAGGTTTACGAATGCTGACATGACAGGCGATCTTGATGGTAGAAAATCTACTTCAGAGTATTTGTTCACTTTTACAAGAGGAGTTGTATCTTGGTAATCTAAGTTGCAAAAGTGTGTTGCTTTGTCAACTACAGAGGCTAAGTATATTGCAGCAACCGAAGCATGTAAAGAAATGCTTTGGATGAAACGTTTTCTTCTTGAATTGGGGTTGAATCAGAAAGAGTATGTGATATTTTGTGATAGCCAAAGTGCTTTAGATTTGAATAAGAATACCGTGTACCATGCTAGAACAAAGCACATTGATGTTAGATATCATTGGTTACGTTCAGTGATTGAAGAACAACAGATGCTATTGAAGAAAGTCTATACTGATAAGAATGTAACAAATATGTTGACTAAGATACTTCCTAGGGAAAAGCTTGAGCTTTGTAGTAACTTGATCGAAATGAGTTCCTTGACCAAGGTAAGTTTCAAATGAAACTACTATGGTGATGAATCTCCTCCTAATGGGGCTGGAGGGGGAGATTGTTAGAAAAATGGGGTTCAACCTCATGTAAGTGGTTTTGGACCAAGTAAAGGCCATTGGCCTTAATCTTTCATTTTACACAAAGCCCTAGCTACTTAATAAAAAAGAGGTGGGATTGTTTTAAGTGTGTGTCGAAAACCAAGTAAAGAAAGAAGAAAAGCAAAAAAAAGTAGAGAAAAAAAAGAAAAGGGAGAGTTGGTTGAACGGAAGTCAATCCGTGGTCCGATTGAGTTGAAACTTTGTTAGGAGGTTTATGATTCAGAGTTCTACATTCTGAACGGTGAAGTCGGGTTTGAAGCTCTTTAGAAACAAATCCAGAATGTATTTGTTGAGTCACTTATTTGATGAGATTTCTTCAATTATTTCTTTAGTTGTTGATTAGCTCTAGTTTTAGCTAGAGAAGAACTTTGTATACCTATTATTTGATAGTGAAGATTTTTCTGATGGTCCGTGATTTTTTTCCTATACATTGGAGGGTTTTCACGTAAATCTTGATGTGCTTTATTTTTTCTACGTTTTTTATTATTGATTGTTGTCTATTATTTCTGTATTGTTGTGATTATTGCTTCATGCGCAACAGTCCCCATTTTCAGTCATAAAATTGTCGGTCCGCTTGCCCCAAAGTACAATGTAGAGACCCACGATGATGAGACATGCTCCTACCAAGCTAAAAAATTGCCAAAGACGTAACATAAATACAAACATTGAATCGGATTATTTATCGGGTACGAAATGCAAGGTCTGCCCCTGGAACAAACGAACTTACTGTTGTCAATATAACTAATTACCTGCCCAAGTGAAGTCTCTCTGCAAAAGCAACTGCAGAAAATATTGCTACAAAGACTGCACACAGTGGACTGAACGTTGATGCAAAAACTGGTCCCTTGCAGCTGATACACCATGTTTGTATATAGTTGGATAACGCTGTGACCAAAATTCCCTATAAAAAATGCTAACACCGTTGGCACATCCATACAAAAAATATGGCTTGCTTCCAGCATCTTTTGCGCTAATCTTTTTTTTTTTTTTCCCTCAATTGAAATAAAAATGAGGTGCAAGGTGATTAGGCTCATTTCAGTTCTGACTCAGATATGAACAAGAATACTTACACAGTAGATAATGGTTAAAAGCTGCACATTCCACTCCAGCTTCATAAAAGAGTATTTCGAGCGAAGAACAGCGCAAGCAAACAAGATTGCAATGATGCAATGAAGCAAATCAAAGCATTCAGTGACAGTTGAGCTGGGTACACTTTGGATATTGTTCCCTGTGAGGAAAAGAATTTCATCAAAAAGGAAAAATGGTTTAGAAGTTAATATATACATACTGAATTGTAACATTAGAAGCCAAATATCTATCTTACGGTCACCTGGAGAAGCAGCCATCCACTCCATGCAATGGTGCTAATGAGAATAAAACAGGAGCCTTTAAGCCAGTTTTCTTGGCCGTACCTCAACACTCCAACAGAACGATGCTTGGTACTGTAGATGTTTATCAGAGGTCCGTCTACAAAGCCTTTCAACCGATACCCTCCTCTCCAGAAGGTAAAAACAAGTGATCCACCAATGCAGATAATTGTTCCTAGTACTTTTGCTTGACCACTAGCACTTCTAATCTTCACCTTTTCCATCCTGAAATGGAATAGAAAAGCAATTGCTACAATGGCCTCTGCTGAAGCTGAACTAATAGTATAAAGCTAAAAAGCGGATCTGCACAGATATGGAACACAAAATATTGATCCAGTAAAGATTACCTGAGAAGAACTGCCATGAGAAATGTCAAGCTAGGGATAACATTGCTCAAGGCAGTTGCTACGGTTGGAGATGTATATGCTAAACCGACATAGTAAACATTAAAGAAAATAGTAGTCCCCAGAGATGACAGAAGAAATATTTTTCCGTACATTGACACTGAAAACGAAGGGCGTTCCTTCCTGTTTTCAAAATACAATACCACAATTTATCCATGTTCTTTTGAGCTATTGAAATTAATGGTAGAGTTCAGGCAGGCAATTGTCTGTGCAAGATTATATACAGATTCACTGCCTGGAAAGGAAAAAAAATGTCGTACAACTCATAAGAACTAAGAACAGTAAAAGACTGAAACTTGCAAGGTTAGGTTACCTTTCGAGAACATAAGCAAGGGGGCCTAACAAAAGTGTTGCAATTATGTGCCGGTAAACCACAAAGACAAATTGATTGAGGCCTCTCGAGCAATTTTAATGAGAATATTAGATCCACCATAAGCAAGTTGAACTGGGACCATTGCCACGTAAAAACCACAGTTTTTCATGGTTATACACTTCCTTAAACTGAACTAGCAGACATATGGCGGGTTTTATATTGGTCGAGGATCAATCTCTGCCACTTGGGAATCGGCTTATGGCGATACTAACGTTTAAGGGATGACGCATTTTAAGTTTTAACACTCAGCTTACCCAAGTAGCTAGTGGAATTCATATTCAGTATAAGAATAAGATGCCCCACTTTCCAATCTTTCTCCTTCTAGCCATTAAAATCAAGATGCTACGCTGAATAAACATACATATTTTTACCTTGAATTGCTCCTGCTGTACTCAAACCACTCAATTCATGAATAAACATATATATGAATTGCTACGCTTCGCTTGTCTCTCTATATGACAATATTCACCTAGGTTGCTGCGCATATATATTGGCAAAGATAATTTATTCAGTTCCTTATTCTCCACTGATGAACAATCGACATCCCATTTCAGCTCAAGCACAAACCATTATTTCAACTCAAATTTCACGAACGCTAACCCTTTTAAAAGCCATCATAAATGTAAAAGCCCATTAGCTTTTAAACTATCTACCGTATTCTCTCAAGAATTATTAGTAATTGCTATTCTTCAGGCATGCCTATGAAGGACCCTAAAATAGGATATTTTTCCCAACCCAATTCGAGCCCAGGTGGAAAAGTTAGAAACTCGCGAGAGGATGCATGGAAGAGCCGCAACTGTCAGAGCAAAGTATCCGGAACAACCATATCAGATAGTGATCACCAAAGCAGAAAATATATCAAAATGAAAATTAGAATTTGCCAGCAAACTCATACCATGAACTCAATTCAACTTCTAGAAGCCATATGTTAAAGTTGGAAAAAAAATTTTCAACAGTGTTAGACTTGGCACTTGAGCAAATCGCCAAAAATGATATTTGTCGAGCAAGAATTCTATAAACCAACACAACACTTAAAATGCAATTAGGCAATAATTAGTGTACTAAGCAGATATCCAAAATTTTCCAGACAACAAATAAAAATAACATTCTTGTACTCTGCAGCTAAAATCCAGGGAAAAAGTAAAGGCAAAACAAAAACCAAGGTCCCAAGATACGACTACGACATAAAAGTAAAGCAGCACTATAACTATGACTCAAGAATCATTCGTCAAGAATCATTCGTCTTCAATGATCCTGCCCTTCTCGCTAACATAGATACCATCAAGGAACTTTCTGATATCCTTGTTCTTCACATGGCATTTCTGTTCAAAATGAAGTTAAGACACAAAGTTGTAAACTATATATAGAAAACGTCCACAAACGTGAAATATTAGCACTGCAAGTTTAAAAATTCTAAATGAGCGGAGAAAGAGAAACCTGGTTTATCAAAGCTGCTGAGCGTGACACAAGTTCAACATCGTTACCATCCAAAGTGATCTCATCCTTGACCTTCTCAGATCGAACAATGGAAACCCCTTCCAACATATCCACCTTACGCACCTGATGATCACCAATGGACAACAAGCCATATTAATATCATTTCATAGAAATAGAAGAAACATCTCTAGCTCTTAAAACAACAATTAAATGACAATTCAAGAGCAAACATGGTCCACATTTGGTTTCTTAATCAAATAGGAACAATATACTTCAAAAACTAAACCAATGGCTGCCCCTATATACATCAGTACTGAAGTGAGATTTTTTTAAAACAAAAAAAGCCCATTCACCAGAACATATAAGAATTATAAGTTTCGATTTGGGATGTTGACATTCAAAAACAGAAGGGCATGAACTAACAGAAAATAACTGCTAATGAAAGTAAAGTAAGCGTAAACAAAAAAGATGCTACTATTTTTGTTGTTTGCAAGAGAATATTCTATTTAAGTTATTAGGCATCCAAAATGGCCTCTACTGGCAAAATTGATAGGAATATATATATATATATATATATATATATCATTTCAACATTTTTGTTCATTACAATAGGCAAACATTCAACAAAATATTATTTGAAATCAGAAGCCATAAATAAACAGAAGTACATTAAAAAAAATATGGAAAATCATCCAACAAGAATTCACGAAATAGGGATCGGATGTTCAGACTGTAGAAAAATAAAGAAATAAATTACTTAAATGAAAAACAAAAAAAAAATGAAATGGATCAACAGTAACAATCAGATTTCGATCCAATATAGATATATTTGCAAAAGATATTAAAAAGGGAAGGAAAGTGAGGGAGAGAGAGAGAGAGAGAGAGAGAGAGGACCTTCTTCTCGCCAAGGAAGTTACGGATCTCGATGGACTTGTTGCCGTTAGTGATGGAGGCGTTGATGGGAAAGTGAGCGTAGACGAACCTCATCTTGTAACGGTATCCCTTGGTGACACCGGTGATGAGATTCTCAACGTGGCTGAGAGCGGTGCGGATGGCGGCGCTGGTCTTCCTGGAGCCGAACCAAGCCTCGATCCTGAGCTTGCGCTTGCCGGTCTCCTCGTCCTTGATGAGGTGAAAATCAAGGTTGAGGTGCTTGAAGTTGCGGGTGAGCTTACCCCTGGGGCCCTCAACTTCGATAATCTTGGCCTTCACTTTGATGCTAACCCCATCGGGGATGTCCATTGTCTCTGAGGAAAGTATGGTCTTCATCTTTCTCAACTCTCTTGGGCGGCTTCGACGGACTCACTTTTGAGAAAACCCTAAACCTAGATGTCTTTATATATACTGATGATGATACATACATATAACAAATTTCCCTAACGCCGACACCTGGACAGCTTCAGTGTTGGCCTTTAATTTAAGGCCCAAAACTCACTTTATTGGGGCTGAATTTTGTATGTTCATGATCGGCTCAATAATAAATGTTTAAATATTCAAGTCTTATAATTTGGATGTTCAGTTTAATAATTTATTTTATAATATTGCCTACAAGGCTACAGCTAGATTACAATTAAATATTTATTTTTTTATATTTTCATTATTTCATGAAATATCTCTAAGCTGTGGTTAGAGTATTATGTATAAAAAAACTACTTTTAATGTTTGTTTTATTAAATTTAGTGAAAACAATATATTGAAATGAAATTTTATTTCTTCAAATAACACCTTAATTTATATATTATAAATGCTCTTCTCTTAATATCCAAAAAATTCAATCAAGCATCATGATTTTTATTTTTTTCTCTCTATCAAAATTATAAAACTATGATTTACCTATTTTTCAATTAAAATGTGTCTAAATTCTTATAAAAATCGATTGTGTTTAAACGTAAAAACACTTGATTTTTCCCTTACTAAATCCTTTTCTTCACCTTACCAGTTACAAATTAACCATTTATTGACTTATTCCACACAAGTGTTCAATAATAAATTTATTTCAGTTATATCAAAATAATAATATATATCAATATTCCCAGTGAGAAACAAGGTAAATATTCAGTCCAAAAAGAGACAATTTTTATACATACAACTTCATGTATGTATTACGGATCTAAAGAGTAGTCTTGAATCTTATATCGAATATAAAAAAAAATTATTGAAGTATAAAAAAGTTTATACCACCTCTGTCTTGTGAAACGTCTTTTGTAAGATAAAATCGTGAAATCAAAAGAGTCAGAGCAAACAATACCTCATAAAGGTGTGAATCATAATAGATAAGTTGATCCGGAACGCCAAATGAGTAGATGTCCAAAACCTAAAGCCGCACGGGTCGAAACTTAAATCTCGACCCATGATAAATAGTATCAAAATTAATCATAAACCGTTCAATCCACACCAAACACATCAAAAGAGATAGACAGAGCGGTCAGCTTCCATAACGAATACGTCACGAGGTTGGATGAAAAAAAATGTCACGGACCTAAAAAAAAATTCTGAATCTCACATCGGATATAAAAAGAGGATCACTAAAGTATAAAAAAATTCACATCACCTCTGTCTTGTGAAACGCTTTTTATAAGACAAAAACTTAAAACCAAAGAGACCAGAACGAACAATAACTCATAATGATGTAAATCATGACAAGTAAATTGATTCCAAACACCGGATGAATGAATATCCGAATCCTAAAACTGCGTGAATCAAAGCTTAAATCTCAACCAGTAACATATGCACATGTATGTACGATTACAACACGAAACAGAGACTTCAATTCAAAAATTTAAGGCTAAGGAAACATGTTCGTGTAAAAACTCTAACAACATCCCTTCTCCCTCTGCACCAGCACTTTTCCGATTACAATGATATGGCTGCCAATTCAAAAGCAACATGTCCAAGGAATTAAATAGCTAGAAACCCAAAAAGGAAATCAAAACCAATACTCAGCAAGAAAGAAAATAAAGAAACCACAAGATACAATAATTCATGTTTTACTTTGATGCCACAACTCAAAAAGTCAATTCAACATTACCGCTATTTGGCAATTTCTGTACAATTCAAATCAACCCTTCGTGGGACAAATCACGAGGGCCAGGCAAAAAGTTTTACTTCAACACTCGGCATAAAGCAGTGTCCCTATCTTCTTATCAGCAATCTGGAACAGCGCACATTTCTTAGTAATCTTCCTCTTCGTCTTCCAACTTGTATGTGCTAAAGTGATTGACCCTGAACTTCCATTCTCCTTTGATGGGATCATAGGACAGAAACTCTGCCCCTTGGTTATCTGCTTTCCTCTTAAGCATGTCCTTGTACTTCTCAACTTTTGGCCCTTCCGTATAATGGTGTCCGGTCTTTTTGTCAAAGCATTTGATGTTGAGAAGTGTTACCTCCGCGGGCTTATTAAGACCTTGTCCAACAGGAGGTTTCTTACAGTCATCCATGTAAACAATCACCTCACGGTTGTTGAACTGGACAAGGGACTCCAGATCAAGACGTCTCACGTCTGTCTCACCCAGGAACTTGATACTTCCATAACCATGCCGCCCAACCACAAAGTCATTGACACGATGACAGTACCCTGGTTCCGCCCTTTCCTTCGCTGCCAGTTCTTGGATTCCAGGTTCAGTATAGTAATCAGACCGCCGGAGCTTTGGCATTAAAGCCTCAATGTCAGCCCCATGCTCATACACAATAGCAGCCTCACCAGCTCTGTGGCCACTGAGCGTCATGTAGGAATCCTCTTTCTGAACAGAATGATCATCATGGACTCCATCAGCTTTCTGATTACCTCTGACAGGATGAATTAGCTCCTTCACAAGTCCATTTTCAGCTGGATTTTCTACAATGACCACATCAATCAAAAGAAATTAAACAGTAGCAAAGATGCCAGCAAACCAATTTATAGTGATCTTAAGTTCATCTGAAAGTTATAATCAGATAACAACACTCGTTGTCTTTATCACAAATAGAATCCTATGGCAGATAATGCTTTGCTCCCATATGAATATCAGAAACTCCAAAGAAAGGGAATAGATAACAAGCTACCCTGTTTCTGTTTCCTACCGTCTAGCAGAGAGTTATAAAACAGTTTATGTAAAAACTTCAGGAGCTACAAATAGTTCCCAAATCAAGCCACAAATCGGGAGAAATATTTCATAACCCATGCAATTTTCACATCATAAAACAGTAGATCAAAGGAACAATATTAATAAAATGGCATGACTGGAAATTACAGGTGATCATAAGTTTACGTAAAAGATACTACTTACTATCTTTATCCTCAGCATTAGAGCCATCACCAGAAATTTTGCCTAAATGAAAAGGATGCTCCAAAGAGTCAGCCACGAACAGTCAAAAATCAATGTAATCAGACCCAAAAAAAAAAAAGAATTAAACAAAAATTCATACATCTGAAAATCAAATCACAGCATTTTCTCTGTGCAATAAAAATATTGTGATGGTACCAGAAAAGTGACTTCTCACAAGAGATGGCATTACAATTTTTTTCCCTAAGGCCAATTGGTATTACTTGGTCAGCTCATTAGTTTGACTACAACCCAAGGGTGTTTGTGTTTGAGAGACGGACCGAGAGAACAGAAACATAAAAGACTACAAAGAATAATCAATTACATAAGGAAAAAAATATTTTAACTACTGACGTCTCAAAGATTAAATGCTATTAAAAAGGACTCAAGCATCTTGGAGACAATTGCTGAGAACCTTGTAGTGTCAAATGGTGGTAGGTAACACATGGAAAGAAGAAACAAAGCATGCAAAAAGCTAAATGCTTCAAAGCAATCAAATTTCACCCCTATCTATTAGCTTTTCTTCTAATCCTAACTAATTCACTAGGTCCCACCAGAGGAATGCAGATGAGCTCGGAAGATTCTTACCATTCTCATGCACTGAAGTGGATGTGTCCTTCAATGATAATGCCTTCTCTGCAGGAGCTCTTGAAGGCCAATTTTCTGTGGGACGAATGACCAGAGCCCTTGGATTTTCCCTAGGAATAAAAGCAGCATCAGCCTTAGGTGTGCTGGGTGCATCTTCATCATCACTGAAAAATGGAACCTGCAGATATCAATTAACAAACAAAACAAACACATGTTAGAACTGTAACTCCAAATGGCAAGCAATGTAACAATGTGGAAAAACTAAAAAATAAAATTGTGTGAAAAATTAAGAGTAAAACTGAATGTATATCGAAAAACTTAACATAAAGAATTATACAAATATCTTAGGTTTATATACAACTAACTAGTGGGTAAACTAAAAAACTAAATCTTCCTAAAACTGATCCTATAATTGAGGGATTGTCTATTCTAATTTTCTGTCCTTAATTTTAGGGATACAAATACTTAATTCTAGAAATACAAATATAAATATACAGATTATAAGATTATAACCAACTGCAAATAAATGTTTTCCCACACTCTCCCTCAAGCTGGTGAATAGGTGTTTTCCATTCACAGCTTGGAAATAATTTCTTGAAATGTTGCACTATTGAGACCTTTAGTCAACATATCGGCAAGTTGACCCTTAGTTGATACATACAGTGTATAAATCAACCCACTATCTAGTTTCTACTCTATGAAATGTCGGTCTACTTCAATGTGTTTTGTTCTGTCATGTTACGCAAGATTGTGTGCAATGCTTATTGCAAACTTGTTGTCACAAAAAAGTCTCATTGGTCCATACCACTTAATCTTCAATTCTTCTAAGATAATCTTTAACCATAGTAGTTCACAAATTCCTTGAGCCATTTCCAAATGGTATCAGAGTCAGGATTTCTTTCTGTTGTCCTTTCCAAATTTGTCACATGGAAAGCTTTTTCCATCTTCCCCTACACGTGATAGGGGCCTGTTAGTGTAGTGTTATCCCACATCTAATAAATACCTAATATCATGTAGTCTTATATTTAAATTGGGTTCCTCCACTTATTGCCAATTGATTTTAAGTTAAATGCTTAACATTATATCAAAGCTTTAGCTCTTCTTGGGAAGAAAATTTTTTCAAACTTCATTGCTGAATTCTATTTCAGGCCTTCATAGTCAAATCTTGTTAAATCTTTCAATCTTTTTTTTTTCCTTTTTTGGCCTTCATTGCCTAGAATTGTCTCAGGTTAAACATTTACTATTAAAAATCATTCAATCTTGAGAAAGATAACCATGCCAGAGATAATAAAATCTGCCACTACTACCCGATTTGAGGAAGTGACAACCAGTAAAACCACCAGAGTACTACAGAAGTCTTGGGAACAATGAGAGTTAGACAAAAAAGAGATTGAGAAACTAAAAAGCCTATTGAAAACTCTTCAAAAGCCTACTGGGTTATGTTCTTTGGGTAATGTCTCTAGTTCAGGTAAAGCTTCTAGTTCTCATGGATTAAATGTCTCAGTTAAGCCACTTACGAGTTCTTGGGTTTGACTCAGGAGTCATAGACCATATGACACATTCCTTACAGAAGTTTAGTACATATACCCTATGTCGTAGTTATAAGAAAATTGTTGTTGCAGATGGTTCACCTACTTCAGTGACAGGATTAGGAGATGTTCAAATTAATCCCTCGTTTGTCCTTAAAAATGTCTTCATATTCCTAAATTGTCTTCTAATCTGATATATATACAAAAACTTACCAGAGACATAAACTACAAAGTGACTTTTTATCCCTCCTATTATGAAAAATCTCCCAATAAAGATAAAATTTGACTTTATCATTTTTGGCTTGGACATCCTTCTTTTGGAACGTTGAAAAACATATATCCTTCTTTGTTCAAAGGATTAAATGCCAAAACTTTTCATAGTTGGATCTTAGAGCAATTAAGAGCATTTTTGTGAGTTATTCATCAACTCAAAAAGGGTATAAGTGCTATTATTCTCCCACCAAAAAATTTTGTATTTGCAGATGTCACTTTTGAAGAAAGTAAAACATTTTTTACTCAACCTTATCTTCAGAGGAAGACTTCATTCATGGAAGATAAGGATAAAAACTTCTTTTCGCTTGACTTGTTCTCCTCTTCAACATTTCACCCATTAATTCTTCTAAGTCTAAACCTGTTTCTTCTGAGTCAAAGTCAAATACTGAATTTGAGTCTGAACCCAATCCAAAAACAGAAGATGTGACAACGAATAATATTGTTCTTGATTCTATAAAGGAATTAAAGGTGTACTCAAGAAGAAAAGTTTTAAATCCTGAACCAGTGCAAGTCCAAGAACTTGATCCTAACTCTGGAAATGAGTTAACTACAATCTTTGACTCTGTTCCTCAAAATGAGTAAGAATCTCTTAAAATTATAATTAGTGATTATGATCTGCCTATTGCCATTAAGAAAGGAACCAGAGAATGTATTAAGCATCCACCATATCCAATCTCTAATTTTGTATCATTTGAAAAATTCTCACCATCTCACAAAAATTTTCTTGTGAGCCTAAACACTATTTCTATTCCAACTACATTATCCAAGACATTATCCAGTGAGAAATGGAAGCAAGCCATGAAAATAGAAATTGAGGCTTTAGAGAAAAATAAAACATGGGAACTAGTAAAGTTGCCTAAAGGAAAAAATCTAGTTGAGTGTAAATGGGTTTTTACTGTAAAATACAAAGAGGATGCTACTGTTGAAAGGTATAAAGCTAGGTTGGTGGCTAAGGGCTACACTCGAACTTATGGAGTGGATTATCAAGAAACTTTACTCCAGTTGGCAAGATGAATATAGTTAGGATTTTGTTATCATTGGCTGCGAATTACAATTGGCATCTTCAACAATTTGATGTAAAAAATGCTTTTTTACATGGTCATTTGGAAGAAGAAATATATATGAAAGTTTCACTGGGATTTGGAGGTCATCTAAAAGCAAACAAAGTATGCAAGCAGAAAAAGGCTTTATATGACCTGAAACAGTCTCCTAGGGCTTGGTTCGAGAGATTTGCCAAAGTGATGCTAGCACTGGGATATAAGCGGAGTCAAAAAGATCACACATTGTCTATCAAGCACTTTGACGTAGATGATGAAAAAGAGATAGAATCTCTAAAACAATGTTTGGCTAGAGAATTTAAGATAAAAAGGCTAGGGAGATTGAAGTACTTCATAGCAATTAAAGTAGCTCACTCACGGGATGGTATTTTCATCTCACAACAGAAATATGTGATGGATATTTTGAAGGATATTGGTAAGCTCTGATACCTTGTGGAAAAACTAAGAAATAAAATCATGTAAAAAACTAAGAGTAATACTGAATGTATATCGAAAAACTGCTCATAAAGAATTATACAAGCACATTAGGTTTATATACAACTAACTAGTGGGTAAACAAAGAAACTAAATCTTCCTAAAACTAATCCTATAATTGAGGGATTGTCTATCTTAATTTTCTCTAGGAATATAAATACTTAATTTTAGAGATACAAATATAAATATCCAGATTACAATATTACAACTAGCTATAAATAAGTGTTTTCCCACAAGTAATAATATCAACTCGGAATATTAGAGTTACCACATTCATGAGAAGCAGCACCCTCACCTTTGGACTATCATTATTAGGATGATACTTCCTTGCAGGCAACCTAATCCGCCTTTGTGAAAGGTGTTGAGAAGTCAATAAGGGCGAAATTCTAACAGGAGCAGGTTTGTCCACAACCTGATAAATTCATTACCAGTCAACCAATTAATATTATTAGATTTTAATTCATAACAAAATCATTGGCAATACATGAGAGAGAGAGAGAGAGAATGATCTATAACAAGTAAATAAAACAGCAGATCAAACTCAAAGCTTCAAAGTAACTAAAGCATGGTCAGAACGTTACAGGCATGCTGGAAATCCCATATTGAACAGATGGTGCAGTCCCAGCCCGCATAATGGAAATTTGAGGAATTGCAGGGAGTGTTCCATAGGGGTTTGTAATAGTCACGGGTTGTACTGCAGCAGCACTCTGTGTAGCAGACCTGTCAAACAGAAGAGCATACAGGATTAAGCTCCAAAATATAAATCAAATAACTATTTGGACAAACATGGACAGAATTTGAGCAGGCATACTTTTGCATGCACATGTGTAAAGCTACGAGAAAAGATTATACTAGTAATAGGTATGCATATGCTTGTAGGCATGTATAAGTGACAACAAAAACAGAAGCAAAACCCAAAGGTTATTACAAATTCGGTAGGGCAATATTACTCTGACCAAAAATGCCTGATCCACCACCTATAAAGCCAACAACATCATTATAGTCAAGACCATCAAAGAAAGCTCAAACTTTCAAATACAATAATAATATTCAAGAAAAAACTTCTCCTACCTGATTGTGTCTGACCAAAATTGCTAAAGCTGAAAGCACCACTGGTCTGAGCTGGCTGAGCTGGCTGAAAAGGTGAAGCAAAAGTGGGCTGCACAAATAGTGGGTCAAACTCCAAACTTAAGGCTCAGAAACAGGAAAGAAAAGCATGCATGTGTACACAGAAACTCATGCATAAACCTAGAGAGTATTATTGCAAATTAAAACTGGCAAAACTCCTAAAATCATAAAGCTAGGCATAATTTTTTTTCATAAACTATTTGACACACATTACAATCAACAAGCAGTATTGACATTTAACTGAATCATACACGACAGGGATCAACAATGGACAATTAGAATTCAAAAAGAGAAAGAAGAAATGCAGATAATTCTACATCCCTGCAACAGCATGATGAAAAAGTACAGAAATAAAGCACTTAGATCAAAGTTGAAAACTAATGCAACAAACATTATAGCTTCATTTTATAACCAAACAACAGAGCAAAGGATCATAAATATGATGAAAAAGAAGAATGATTGTAAAGATTTGACGAGTAACTTACAGTTGTTGGGCCAAAGGCAGATGGGTTACTAGAAGGAGCCACCGATAGAGAACTCGAAAACATATTCCCACTAAACCCAGAGGAAGGTGTATTGAAAATGCTTGTTTGACCAAAGTTACTAGTGTTCTGTCCAAAGGTAGAGGTCACCTGCCCAAAAGCATTCCCTGTCTGCCCAATTGCAGGGGTAGAATTGAACAGAGGGGATGTCTGACTGCTGCTAAAATTTAAACCAGTAGCAAATGCTCGAGTTGTTATCGGAGCTCCACCAGTACCAAAAATGGATGGCAAAGTTGAAAATGAAGGAGTGACAGATGAGCTAAAAAGAGATGAACCAGTTCCAAATGTAGGAGTTGCAGATGAACTAAATACTGAAGTTGTTGACGAAGTTGGGCCAAAAAGGCTTGATGATGTTGATTGAAAAGGATTTGATGTAGTAGTCGAGGTTGTAAAACCTGTACTATTAAGGGATGGGGGTTTTAGGCTAAATGGATTGGTACTTGTGCTGGAAAAAGGATTTGCAGATGTTTGACCAAACGTTGAAGAAGAGCCAAAAGGACTAATAGGTGCAGTTGACACAGCAAAGCCAATCCCTCCAGAAGGCTGAGCAGCTACCTGTGGTCCACCTGAAATTTCAAATTTATACAGCAAGGTAGTCAATGTCAAACACAGTAAAGAAGAAAGATTAACTTTCAGGGTTTTACAATATTTTACAAAGGTACCTTTATCCCCTAATTGATAATCCTCCCATCTCAGCTCCTCATGACTTTTATCTTTGTAAACAGGCATCGCTGATATTGACTCCAGCTTTGCAGCTGGCTGTGCACTACTCCCACTATCTGCTTCAGTTGTAGGTGTGTAAGGAGCTACTCTACTTCCCCCACGTTGACCCCCAAAAGGTGATTGGCCAAAGCTAGTGCTTCCAAATGCTGGTACAGAAGATTGGGTTCCTACATGAAAAGTCGAAAGAATTTAATTATATAATATGTATGAACTTCCTTGTAATCAAAACGTGGAAGGCCCATCAAAATATATATTCACCCAAACTGTACAACTAATTTCAAAGTTTATAGTTAATCATGTAGACTTGATTACTCACCCAAAGGAGAACTCTGGGCTCCAAATGTAGTGGTTCCAAAAGGACTACTACCGAATGTTGGCGTTGATTGGCCAAAAGCTAGGCTAGACCCAAAGCTGAATGAAGGAGTAGAAGATGCTCCAAAAGGAGGAGTGTTTGAAGCCCCAAAAGCAGGAGGGATGGAACCCCCAAATGCAGAACTAGAAGAACCAAAAACAGGAGTGCTAGAAGTGCCAAAAGCAGGTGTGCTTGCTGCTCCAAATGTGCCCCCTGTTCCAAATACCTGGGCATTAGACACACCAAATGCAGTTCCAGTGCTCCCAAATGCTGGACTTCCAGTTGAACCAAAGGCAGGGGTGCTCGTAGCACCAAAGGCAGGGGTGCTCGTGGAACCAAAGGCAGGGGTGCTCGTGGCACCAAAGGCAGGGGTGCTCGTGGCACCAAAAGCAGGAGTATTGGAACCAAATGCAGATTGAGTTGAACCAAAAGGTGTGGAGGAACCAAATATACCACTACTAAATTGAGGCTGTGATTGCTGTGTTGTGTTTCCAAAAAGACTTGATTGAGTGGGAGTAGACCCAAAGCCAAATGCAGGCTTCTGACCAAAAATAGAAGACCCTATCAAAACAAAAAAAAAAAAGGCAGTCATCAGTTTAAAACTGAGAAAAAGACACCAAGTTACCCTAGAGCTAATGATTAAATAGTCAATACATGAATAAAATTAAAAGCATATTACCAAAAATTAGCAAATAAAATGTATATGAGAAATAACAACTGCTTGCTCTGAAAAAGATGGCTCTCATTCAAGATCATATTTAGGTGCTCAATGAAGAATGAAATAACCAAGTGGGTCATTTATTAATGAAACACTAAATTCTTCCATCTCCATGAAATTAAAAGTGCAACTAATTGTAATATGAATACATTTATATATGTATGCATGAACGTTTACGCACAACAAGTCAGTGATGTACACATTTATGATATTAAAACACTAGGAATAAAGCATAAAAAAATATCAAAAGACAAAAAGGTATCACAATCATATTCACTAATATATTTAACTAGAACAGGAAGAAAATGAAATGAAGGAGAACTGAATTATAATAACAGAAAAGCAAAAGCATACAGAAACATTTACCACCAAAAGATGATGATGAACTGCCAAAAGCAGGCATGGAACTTCCAAAAGCTGGAGAAGATGAAGCACCAAAGGCTGCTGTTGAGGAAAAGGGAGAAGAAGATTGGGTTGCACCAAACACTCCAGTAGAAGTACCCCCAAATATTGAACCTCCTGTTTGGGAGCCAAAAGGGGTTGGACTACCAAAGGGAGGTTTAGGTGCAAATGGATTGCTACTTGCATTGTTGGTCTGCCCAAAAACAGATTGGGATGCAAAAAGGCTACTAGAAGATTGCCCAAAAGCTGTTTAAATAGTTTCTAACAATTAATTTAATTTTCCAAAAAGATTCACACATAATAGCAAATTCATTCTCAAAAAAAGATGACATGTAACATACAGGTTAAAGATTAAAAAAAAATTTAAACACCAATAATGAAATTACAAGCATATATACCAGAAATAGTCTACCAATAACAAGCACAACAATTTTTCTAATTACAATATTACAACTAACAGCAGATCAAGAAGCCAAACAACCTACTAAACAGTTAACACGGAACATAGCACTATCAGGATAGCCTTTTGCCGCAATAAAATACAGTAGTGAAACATGCCGAAAAAAATAAATAAAAGGAAAAATATTAACTTAAAAAAGGTATTAGTGAACACTTAAAAAAGAAGAAAAAGATGGAATGTGGATACCACCGCATGCAATATATGAATGCTTTTTGAAAATGAAGCCATTCTTGAATGTGAAAACCAATCAGAAATTCAGAATTTCACAATAACTATATAAAAGTTACTAGCCACGAGCTTCTAGTTTAAAAAAAGAACGGAAGCAATTATATATTCATTGAAACATCAGCTCAACGAATCAAATCAAAATACGATTATTACCAGAGAGAATAAAAGGTGAGAGAAAAACTTACGGGTAGTTGTACCAAACATCTTCGTTTATATAGTTCTTTACTCCACAGGAACTTGATCTCAAACTGGGAAAAGAAAAAGAAGCAGAAAGTAAATCAAACAAACAGGGAGACAAGATAAGTAATAAATAAATGCATTCCACTGAATCCATACGAAATTTGAATTAACATTGCAAAAATAATTAAATGCGGCCAACGTGATGCCATGAACCAAACTTGTGATCGATTTTTCCATTTATTTGCATATCAAATGAATCAATTCTTCAGTGGCGATTTAACCTTTTTCTTTTACCTTCTGATGCAACTATTTAAAACTAAAAAAAAAAAAAGTTGGGCAAAGAGAAAATGAATATACCAGGAAAAAAAGAAGGTGTCGAATGCTACAACGAATAGCCAATAAAACCCCAACTATAATATGTACTTGAAATTGCGAAAACTGTTATCAGAAGAAGAAGAAGGAATGAGCGTGTGTTCTCGAGCAGTGAAACAGTGGAGTGCTAGAGAAACATAAATAAAGAGATAAGAAATGGGGTTTCGGATATAGCGAACCCTTTCGAGTCGATCTGATACAGAGGGGGAGAGAGAGAGTGGAAGTTTATTGAGTCGGAGAAATCAGAATAGAAAGAGTGGAAAGAGGAAGAGAGAGAGACCACCGGGTTGCGAAAAGACCCAACAGAGGCGAGAATACGGAGCTAAGAGAGGGTTGGTTTTGTAGGGTCGGGTGATCCATGTAGGCTGTAGCGTTGTTTTTAAGTCCGGATAGTGGTTAGCAGCGAGCGTTTCGAGGGTTTGGGTCTCAATAGCGTAGCGGTATCTCGAAGTTCCGGAATCGAGAGAATTCAAAAAAATGTTATTGGTGTTGTGATTATAAATATTTGATTTTTACATTTAATTTAGAGTTATTTAATTTTTTTAAAAAAATCATATTTTTAATGGTATCTAAAATTTTGAAATTAAAATCTCAAATTTTTTTAGTATTTTAATTTTTCGATCAAAAAATTATTTGAGTTCTAAATTTAACATGAATAAAAAGTTTTTTCTTAATTAAATGCTGTTATTGAGTTTATTTAAAAAAAATTTTTAGATACTCAATTTTTTAAAATGAACTCAATTAAGGCATTTTTTGTAATTAAATTTCATAATTGAGTTCATCCATCTTTTAAAACTTCATAATCAATTATTATATTTTTTATATAAACGTAGTAATTTGATACAATTTATATTTTATAAAAATATATAAAATCATTTCGTTCATTTGATAACTTTTATTTGTCATGTTTATTTTTAAAAAATAAAATAAAAGGTTTATTTCAAGGTTATCAAAAATATTATAATAAAAACATATGATTTAACAAATGTAAATTTTTCTCAATCAAACAAATGAATTTGAAAACAAGATGTACTAAAAATTAAACTTTCCTCACATATCACATTTTTTTTTTAATTTAAAATTTTACGAATTAAACGTACTTTAAAAATTGCTATTTGAAGTCTAAAAGTAAATAAACTTAGTGATAAAAATATTTGCAATTAAAATATTAAAAATTATATTTATTAATTTAAAATATGATATAATGATATAATATAAAATAATATGATTTAATTTTTTAATAATAAATAATATGAATTTAATAAAATAAATATATATTTTATGTTTTCATATTAATACAAATTATAATACGTTATTTTTATATAAAATATGATATAGATATATAAATTTTATTATTTTATATGACATAAGATGATAAAATTGCAAATAAATTAGTACATTTACTTGTAAAAAATGACTATTAATATTTTTATTAATTGCTGTTAACATTAATTGACCACCCTCTCGTTATTAGTAAATAAATACTCATTATAATATTTTTTTGTTATTTCATAAAAAATAAATTGTAGTACGGTATGTCAAGATTCCAAAGCAAATGGCTGGGATTAATAAAAATCCTTTTAATTTTTGGGTTTTTTAAAATAAAAATATGCGAGTTTCATTTCCAGGAGTTTGAATAGTAATAATTATTATTTAAATTTAAAATTATCAAAAATTAAATTTTAATTATTAAAATTAAAAATACAATATTAAACACTCTATCAATAAATTATTAAAAATTTATCAATTATTTAACATTGCTATTAGAATTATAATTATGAAATACAAGTAGATTATAGCTAGAAGACTGATTAATCATCAAAACTTAACTATAATAGTTATATAAGCTGTTTAGTGATTGATTAGATTCAAGTCCACTTTCGGTATAATGTGATTAAATTTATCGTATCATCAGTTAAATCAAAATATTAATTTTAATGAAATATATTCAACATAAATTTTTTATTAAAATTTTTTTTCAATCGTAACTGTAATAATTTTTTTTTCAATTGTAACTATTATAGACTTAACAATCTAAAATACTATACAGTGACATGATATAAATATAAAATATTAAAGTGACACGATTTAAAATTTTAATAATAATTAAATTTAAATTTAACAAAATCAAAAAAATATATTTTATATTTTTTTATTAATAAAAATTATGATAAATAATCTGTATATAAAATAAATATAAATATATAAATTTTAATATTTTATTTAACATAAATATACGAATCTTTAAATTTAAATTATAATCATTTTTAATATTATTTATAATTTCATTACAATCAATCTTATCTTTCGTCCAAACGGTGTCTTAGTAAATAAATTTTATGAGATTTATTAATGAAAAGATTTGACGTATGTGGAAATTTTGTCTTTTCGCAATTAAGTAATGATAGGTATAAAATTCAGAATTCAAATTTAGAAGCTTGAATATTTGTCAACCACGTGGGCGAAATTAAAAGGTTTTTGGTCCAATGTGGCTGAGGCCACAGCTTGTCGAAAATGCTTACACGGAGCCCAATCATCAGAAAAACAATGGGCCGCGATTTTCAATTCTATGAACTACCGATTCCAACAGCTTTCTCATTTATGGGCTCAGTAGAGGTTTTTAGACTCCACTTTAAAGGTCGTTACATATCCAATTATATTAAATAATAAAATTTTAATTAATAATCTATAAAATATATTAAAACTATCCTAATTGACTAGACACTAATTTTTGTAATAACTAATACTTATTATAAAAAATGATTGGAAGGTCAATTAGGGTATAATATTATACGATTAGGATGAAATATAATTTTGTAATTCAAATTTTAATATTAATTGTGACATTTTGTTATATATTTAGGGTTGATGTAAACATTTAATTTACATTTATTAGGATATATAAGATTTTAATTAATATTTGTTAAAATAAAAATTTTTAAAAATTAATTTTAAAAAAATTTTAAGACGATAAAATAATTCATATCCAACGAATTTCGATCCATTTTGATCCTCCAGATATATATATTTAAATCAAGGTCAAACTAGAATAATGATATTTATTTCTTAAAAAAATTAAGATTTGGTTGGAAATGGATCGTACTTTGTCTCAACTTGTCCTGAGAGATATATATTATTTATTTATTTTTGTATTAATATTATGTATATAATATTAATAACAATATTATTTAAACTTTAATTTAAGTCGTTAATTTAATAAAAATATTATATTTATATATAATTAATATGTAATTTATTTTAAAAATAATATTTTTATAAATATTGTACTAAATTAAAATCATTAAATTAATTTAGGGTTAGAGACAAATTATACATATATATCAAATCAAAATTAAATATAAAAAATAATAATCCAATATTCGATAGGATCATAGTTAGATAAAATATTTTAAAAGTGGGGTTGGAACGAGGTAAGCAAAAAAAGCATTGATTCAACCCGTTACCATCTTTAGGAAATTTTGGAGTTAATTTATATATATAAAAATATTTCAAGGGCATTTTCATATTTGAGGGACACTTTTTATAGCAGATAGTGTTTTAGACTATTTTGTGTGCGTATTCAATTGTTAATAAAAATCTAACTTTTTAAAGCTATTAAATTTTATAATTCTATCTAACTTTCCTTTCAAATATTGGAATTACTTTTTGTAATGACTAATATTTTGAATTAGCAGCCTTTTATTTTTTATAATTTAATAGTACACAAGGTTTAACTATTATTTGTAATTCAATCATGATGACAAACAAATAATTTTTCAGTGAATTAGTTTTATATCTCATTGAGTTTAATTAATATAAATATTTAAATATTTTAAATGAGATAAATTTATATATATATATATTTTTTTATTGTTCAATTTTTAAACTTTTTATATATACGTGGATTATATCCTTATTATATTCCGAGATGCATGCTATTATCTAGTATAATTAAAAAAAGTAAACATTATGATTTTTTTTTATATAGAGGATTATTAGTATCATCTCCCTTGTTTTTAAATTTCAAATAATTATATTTTAAATTAATTTTTTAAAAAAATACAATCATAATCAAATATTATACCATTATAATTAATTGAATAATTAATTATTACATAATAATCAAGTTACAATCACTTAATAACCAACTAACAAATTAAAATATAACTAAACAATCAAATTCACATGTAATAAAACTTTGAATGTTTTAGAACTTTAAAATTCTAGGACTTCCCCATCACCACTAAGCTAAGGCCTTGTTGGCATTTTAAATTAAAATTTTAAATCTTAACTACTTGTAGCATAATCTTGATAATATTGTAGAGAGAAAATTTTATAATACTTTTAATGCATAAAATATATAATTGTTGAAGAAAAAATTATAATTATAAAACAGTACAATTAATTATTATTTGCTTCAATTATATATATGTATATATTTATATTTGAAACTGTAAAAGATTGATTTCTAATCACAAAAATTACTAATCACAAAAATTAAGAGTTTACCCTTCTACTAACAAACCATACTTAATTTCTTTGCTAATTAATTCCAATATAATAATAGGGTTAATTTTAACATTATTCCAAGGGTGTTGTCCACTTAATTTGAAATGACCAATAAATTTTAAAAACTTTAAAGATGATATTAAGAATGTTAATTTTATCTAAATTAGATGAAAATTTTGACATTTTATTTGAATAAGGATGGATATGAATACTAAATTTTGAGAATGGAAAGATGATCATAATTTTGAAATATTATTAGGTATGAAGACAATATCCACCTATCCCATACCCATATCCATATATATATATATATATATATATATATAATAAATAGATTTTGATGTAATAAATTTTTGGGGTTAATGGATTATATATTTCACAATAATCCTATAAACTCCATTTTTGTCACAGCCAAAAAAAGACCAACTATGACAAACAAATACTTTGCAGCATCAATTAGTATGGATCTAGCTTGTGTGAAAGTTTGGCTTTTCAATTCTCAAAATTCCAAATTGAGTGGTAAGTCGTAACTTAATGAGCTCACTAACTAATTAAAAATTAAGAATGAATGTTCAAAGTTGCTAAAGATGCCAATGCTTATAAGTGTTTTTTTTTATTATATGATTTTTAATATGTTGCTTTTGTTGGGAAACTCATATTTTATAAGAGATTTATTTTAAATTAATTAGATATTATTTGATAAATAAAAAATTTATAAAAGAATAATTCTAAGAAAAAATAGATTTTTAATAAGTAAGTTTTTATATTTATAAATAATGTGAGTCTCTATAAGGTTAGATATAAGAAAAATATGTAACAGACTTATAAAGTTTTATTGAGTAAACAACCCATAGGATTAGAGAAGATTGAAATGGTGTATATGTTTGAGTGGACTAGAGATGGATGATAAGTCAACATAGATATGGTCAAAAGTGTGCATGGATATATGTTTATTAGTGTTGAGAATATTCTTTAAGATTAAAAAA